GGTCCAGCGAAAAATAATGCGTCATCTAGGGGCCTTCGATTGAAGAGGTCGTCAGGAAAGCCGGCGTTTTGGTGGGCCTTTTCGTTAGGGTAGTCACAACAAAGTCTAGGGTGAAGAGCCAAGACCCATAGTCTACAGAGTGTCCCCAAAAAATGTATACACATTTTACCTATTTGTAAAATTAGTGTTTATCATAATTTTATTATTAAATAAATGTAAAGATATTTACAAGTACCATTTTATTGTTTGTATCACTGAATGTTCTCAAACTGACGTCCATTTTCATCATGACACTGTTGACAACGCAAAACAATGGAATCGCACATACCATCAAAACAATTCCCGTAGTATTCGGGTGCATTCATGTTCGGTAGCTTCTCTCAATTCAGCCACTGTTGCAATGGTCAAAATGTAGTGAAAAAACAATAAAATGATACTTTTAAATATTTTTAAGTTTTTGAAACAACAAAATTATAATAAACACAAAGTTTACAATTACGTAAAATGTGTATACATTTTTGGGACACCCTGTATTTACGATCACTGATATGTTGCTACTCCTGAATCTGAACCCGTGTAAGGGGTTAAAGTACTTTCTTCGTAATAGACTCTTTCGATTTGTTGCTAAGGCCGTTGGCAGACGTGGGGTTTTCGGAATTTCCACTTAACAATCTTTTTTTTGCACTACATCCAACGGAAGCGAGTGTGTCCTCCGAGTCGCTTATTTTTAAGCCACGATAAAATATTCATCGATTTGTCACACGGGTGCATTGCATGTGATGGTGGGTGTGCATTGACTCCCTTTTTATTTCACGTTTCGGAGGTATGTCAATCGTTTATCGGCTTGTGCTTAGTGTATCGGCAAGGCGTTATCAAACCTCCGTGGTAACCGTCATCTAGTTTGTTTGGTAGAGCCCTTTTTTCTCGATCTGCCAACTTTCTTTTCCTTAAGAAGACGGTGACCAATTACTTTACCGTTCTTCTATTATAGAAGCAGGGTTGTTGTTCCTATAGACAATTGATCGGTAATCCCTCTTTAAATTCAACATTAACACGTTAGACAGTGGACAGAGAGGATATCCTCTTTGTGTGTCATCTTTCGCGATTATAGTTCCTGTCGCTGCTATTCCTCGCATTTAGGAAACAACCCTGCGTTGTATCATGTTACTATCCTATCTGAGAGTCGCTAAGCTTTAAGTTTGCCTTCTGTTCGACCGCCTTACTGTGTCTGCCTTCTGTTAAGATTTTGTTTCTTCTACACAACTTTCTTTGAGCTCATTTTTTTCTAGCGAACCTAAGATAGGCTTCTTGTTGTGATGTTGGCCCTTTCAGCCAACCGCCTCTCAACACTGCGTTCCCTTATTTAAACGAATTCGTGCATTTGAGACGGTGTCTGTGTGCGTCGTCCTCCAATTTTGTTATCAACCGTTCTTATTGGGTTATCCTATGTGCAGCTGTCTCCCCCCTCCGGGTTTTATCTAGCTTCCTCGTTTGACAGCCTACCGTCTCTCGAGGAGCGTACTTCCTAGGGGGGTTGGTTAAAAGTGTACCGTCTAATTTTGCTTGGTAAAGGACGCTGGCTGCCTGTTTGCTTGAGCCGGTCGTACTTTCCATTTCATGCTGAATCGTAATTGTTGTTTTCTCTCTTCTTCTCTCAAAGTAACTATTAGTTTATGGGATCACTTATTCCACGTGATAAAATGTCTTTTTGGTAAGGGCCATCGTACTCATCTCCGAAGAACTTCAGTGATTACTAAGATTGTATAGATGGGTCGTTATGAGCACTACTTCGCGCCAAACATCCTATCGTGCATTTGCTTGTTTCTTCGGATAACATTCGCCGACAACACGCGCCAGTTTATATGAAGTCGCAGATCTTCCCCATCGAAGGGGAGATCTAAAGCTAGCTTAGCTGAGACATTTCTGTTCCCTTGATTTAACAGACCTCTTGCAGACATTAGGCATTCAAGCTTTTCTGGTATTAAAAATGTCTGTTCTGCTTAATGGGAATAAGACTGCGGTTTAGAAGCGCCCAAGCGACTAAACTTGCATTCTTCTGCTTTTTTAAGAACTCCTTAGCTTTGAGTTGGAAGATAATTTTGGACCATGAGCTTGTCAGATGAGCGTGGCGCCATCGGCTCAGTCGGGGCAAGACAAAGCAAAAGTTGTCTGTTCCGACTATTCTTGTTGACCTTGTGTCTGTTTTTTTTTGGCTGTCATGGGCGATCCGCGGTGACTCTTTATTTTCGATCCAAGCGCTCGCCTTGCTAGCGATCTGGAACTTTTCTTTGGTTCAATAGGCGTAAAGGGTCGCGTTTCTCCTTCATTAAACTATTCGGTCCTTAATAATATGACATTCTCGGGTTTTCGAGGGTGGGCGTCCCGGCGTAATAATTGGAGAAACTGTTGATGATCACTTTTCGATATTAAACACCTTGAACATGGAGATCCGACCGGGCTCTTCGAACCGTCAGCGACATTGCGAATCTTTTATGATAAGCAACTTCAGTTTCTCAGGTTATTGTATCCTTTCTCCCTGCCCCGCATCTATCTGTGGCAACTTCTATATCTGTTGTCACTTAAACGTTAATGGGAAATCACTTACGTGACATCTAACTTTCCATTGTCTCTACCTCCTACC